ATAAGTGAAATCATATGGTACTTGTCTTTCTCTGTCTTATTTAACCTAGCCTAATTTTTATAAAATATTTCCATTGGTGTAAACTTTTGCATTGGTAACATGGTGAACTATTCAAAACACTTTAGATGGGGAGATATACTGCTCTTAAATTCAAAGCCAAACGTTGAGGGGTGGGAAATAAAATGGCTCCAGTGACAACTTGACCAGTGAAGCCTGGTTGGTTGTCGCCTCACAAAGTGAAAGTTCGCTGGTTCTACTCCCAGTTGGAACACTGCACCTGGTTTGTAGGTTTGGTTCCCAGTCAGTGTGTGTACAAGAGGCAACTGATCGATGTTTCTCTCTCACATCATGTTTCTTTCCCTCTCTTTTTCCTTTCCTCCCCGCCTCTAAAAATAAAATAAAATAAAATAATATAAAAAATTTTAAATGGCCCCAGTGAGATACAATTATCCAGGAAGCTATGGAGAGTGTCAGTAATTGACTCTATGGATGTTTATTTTCCCCACTATAATTTTGAATTATAGTTATACTGCTAACTATTTAACAATGCAATATTTCTTCCACTTAGGAAAGTTCATAATATTAATGGAAGCTCTAATAAGTGTCCTTAAAAATGCAAAGCAGGATCTGGGTGTAGTAGTGTTCCACACTGCTGGCTAATTGTAAGTTGTAAAACTTACATTTTTTAAATAATGAATATTATGACATTAGATTTTAAAGCTCTGTTTCCATATCATCACACAATGTTTGTCTTCTGCTTTTTAATTACTTTTAAGTTTCATGGGGAAAAGAATCCTAAAAAATAACACTTTATTTCTATATCTCTCTTGAATGAAATATTGAAAAAATCATAAATGCATAATGCACTGTCATTTATGAAGTCCAAGGAACCAATATAATTGCTTTAATTCTAAAATGCAATTTCTTGTTGTCTCACTTATGCTTCTGGAACTTAAATATTTTGAGCCTCAAGATCATTTTCATAGTACAACTGCTAAAAGGAAGCTTAGGTGGTTAAAATGACAGGAGAAGACAGAACAAACAGTGAAGATGTGCAAAAATTTGGGATGGAAAGAACATTAAATTAGATATCAGAAGACAAGAGTTTAAGCCTCAAATTTCCCGCTTGTTTGCTGGGTACCCTTGAGTAACTGACTTATATTCTCTGTACTTACTAACATTACTTTCCACTTCCCATCCTCATTTCAGTATGAGAAAATATGAATGACCTCAGAAGTATGAGAACTATAGACTTCAAATCTGAATTAAAGAATGCTCAAAATTAGGTGAAGTACTAACATAATCCAGTCTGAATGGTATGCAAATAACCTGAAAAATTAGCAATGTTCCTCAGTAAGTCCCCACTTTACTACCAAAAAGTGATTGGGGTGAACAGGCCACAGTGTCTTGTAAAACTGAAATTGTTTACTGAAACATAATGAAAGCCCCTCTAGTTTTCAAAACAACAGGAGTAATTGTATTGTTCCATCACAGTTGTGAAAGTGTGTTTATACCCTTTTAATGGTTTTGATTAAATTCATGATAAAGTGAGGAAAGAAATTATGTAAATCCCAAATCAAATTCACAAGTAAATTACATGTCTTGTCAGAGACTATGCTCTCTATTTCAAAGAGCTTGAGGAAAAAAGGTTTCAGTAGAAATGATCTTTGGTTTTAATATAAGAAAATCACTTCAGTTCTGAACAACCTATCATGTGTTCTTAGACTCTAAGTAAAACACCACTTAAATATGTGATGGGCTTTTACATGAGTTGCTTTGAAAATGTGCCATAATGGGATTCACAAATGCATACACTTGCCATACACAAAATCACAGTGTGCTGCACTTTCCAAATCAGGTCAAACATTAATGTTGGATTTGAAACTCTTAATGTTATGGAGCTAAATTGTATATTTAGGTAATCGATGTTCTGAAGCAACTGATTGGGATTTGTAATATATTTCTGTTTAGAATAATTATGTTAATTAAGATAATACATTTTTAGCTTGCAGATGTTAAAAGGAAAAGTGAAGTGCATAATCTTACTAAAGTTATATAATGAGAAGCTATGATTTAAATGCAACAAACAAAACATTTTTGAAGGGCCACAATGTTCAATGATTTTTCAAAAAATTGCAGTTACATTTTTGTTCAGAAAGAAAATAGAATTATTTGAGCACATTGGAATGTGAATTAACCAGAATTCTCATCACAAATCCCAAACCAGGTCAGACTTGTGGATCATGTGGTATGGGTACTATTCTGACAAAGTGGTTCCAAAAATGTACTACGAAAATGCATTATAGGATGCAATTTACTTAAACAAAAGTACCTGAATGTAAGCACTGGCTGACATGTCAGCATTCACAACTATTTACTGAACACCCCTTTTGTGCCTGACCTTGTTGTAGATGCTTCAAATTTACCTCTGAGCAGAATATATGAAGCATTGCTCCTCTTTGAACTTATGTTCTATTGGAAGATGACAGAGAGGAATAAATACCACTCTGTGTTAAATGATAAGATAAGAACAATAAAGCAAGGAATGGGGATAAGGAGTCTTTGGTGGAAGTTATGGGAGGGAGGGTAAGAGACATTCAGAAAGAAGGTGACATTTGAGTAAAGATTTAAAGTAGGTAAGGAACTAAGCCATGTGGAGATGGGGGACAAGAATTTAAGATAGGAAACAGCAGGCACAAAGTCCCTGAGGTAGAAAGAGGCCCAGGCTGTTTTCAAGTAATAGCAAGGAAACTGAGGTTGCTAGGTGACATGACACTTGAGTCAGAGATGAAAAAAAATGGGGTGGCTTTTAAGAGCTGCTTTGGCTTTTATTCTCAGTGATACAGTGATTAATTGAGAATTTATGGACAGAAAAGTTGTCATCTGGCTTAAGTTTCAACAGGATCACTCTAGCTTGTGTGGTGCATTTTTTTATTAGGGAACTAAGCAGAACTTCACAATTAAAATGTTCTGATTAAAAATAGCTTTTAAACAACTCATAATTCACTTGTGAAAATGACATGTGCTTTCTAGGTTCATAGTGTCTATTTACTTGCTTTTTTACTAAATATAGAAAAAATAGTTATAAATGTCTGCTTGTTTCTTCCACTTTAATGCCACTCATCAGTCACATAATCAAAATTGTTCCTTTCCATAATGGACATAACATTAAAACTCTTAATAATGCTCTTTACCTCTGTAGAGATCAACTCCAAAGGAGGTCTACTCTATACCTTCTTGCATGAATTCTGCACTCAGTCCTGCCTCTGCCTCTCAGTGCTTTTACTACATATCCAGCTTGAAACTCCACCCTCATGTCCTTCCTACCTGCTCTCCAAAGCCCAGTTGCTACAAAGTCTTCAACAATTGTTGCCATTGCTATTAGCCCCCTTTCCAAAATCCTCACATTCATAATGTGAATTACTGATTTTTATCATCTATTTGTATACTTCATTATGTTTTCGGTTTTATGTCTTTAGTTTTGCTAGTTAGCCAGGGATCTCCTGGAAGACTGGGTCAATGTCTATTTCACAACATGTGTTCAAAAACTACCTGATGGCTGGTTGGTTGAGCCTTCAACCCATTTTTATAAATACATCTGTCACAGTGACACCAAGCTATTTGAATCTGGTTTTCCATTAAGGAATGGCATGAGGAAGCCCAAGGAAATGGTGATGGCAGAGCAAGCCCCTTGAGGAAGCCGTTGTAGTTTGTTGGATTCCTGGCATCAGTGTCGCTGTTCCCTTTCCCTGGTGCTGAATATCTCACTTGCAGAGATTACCCATGTTTTCTTGCTATCCCTTCAAAGGAAACAGCAACTGATTTTTATGTCTTTTCGGCAACTATAAATTGAATTTTTGTTTTGTCTCCTTGCCTATTTTTCACACTGCATTTTTGGTGATAACATTTTTTGCAAATAGAAAAAGCTATTGTGTTGAAAGACACTTTTGATTATGCCTTTTAACATATTATAATCCACCATAATAAAAAATTGATTGATAGTAAGATATGATAAAATGATACACTTTAGAGCTTATATATGATGTTAATTTGGGGTTCTAAAACAGAATACACATATTCAAAAAACAATTATTCTATACATTTTTAATTATTTGTGTCTGAGATCAAAGCATACCAAGGAACAGAGAATGCATTTTTTAATATGGCCCTGGTCAGATATATATAGCAAGAAAACGAGCTTGCTATTTCAATAATGAGCAAACTCAAATTGTTTTTGTAAATGGATGTCAATTCTAAAGGCTCCATAGTAGGGAGAATGATTATAGATGCATTTTTTAAGGCTGTTTACAACATTTTATTGTCACAAACAAACATTTGTTGTTGTTAAGGTATTTTACTTTCTTTAATAACAAAAGTGATTATGAATGGAAATAAATGTACTATTGAATTTCACATCTTATATTGCATTGTTGTGATCAAAATCAATGTACCTCGGAGCTCTCTTCAAATGAGAAATGATTCTGTAGTCTAGACAAAAAAAAAAAAACTTTCTAAGGTAGCCACCTGGACCCAGAAAAAATACTAAAATTAAGGACATCATTTGAAGTGGCTAAAATGATCAAATATATCTTCTGGCTCTATAGACAGGCATTTCCTCTACCATTAAAATTATAAAAGAATGTGAGCAAGGCAGATGGAAGAAGCCACATTTATATCCTAGCATGTATGCTTGAATATGCATATTCTTGTTAAAGGAATATGACATTTGCTGATAATATAATTCAGCTTCTTAGTATTAGCATTTAATGGTTGAAGTTTAGTGAATAAATGTTAGGGAAAATTAGTTTTAGATATGTTTCATTTCTAATAAAGTCAATGAGTGATTTTCATGTATTACTCAAAGGAAGGAGGACTTCTGTAATTTTGTCATGAAAAGCTTATAAAGGATTATTTGATTTTATTTAAATAATGTACTTAAAAATAATCACAGACACATTTTTCCATATTACCTGACTAATAATCTTTGTCATATACTTCAGGCATGAACTTCTAGAAGAGGCTCGAAGGAAGGGATTACCTTTTGCCCAGTGGGATGGGCCCACTGTAGTCGCATGGCTAGAGGTAAGAGAATTAAACCAGAAAGCTCTTAATTTAATTGCTACGCATTTGATAGCTTTTTTCTTTTAGAGAAGAGGTAAAAGCATATTTCTGAAGGCATAGCTTTCCAAGAGCTTGGAGTAGCTCATACAAGTTACAGAGAAGAGCTATTTCCATATTTAACATTTTTGTGTTTTCTGAGATACCGTTGCCACCTAACCACACACTGTCCCTTTGCTTATAGTATAATTCCTGAACCTGATTATCGAAGGCCTAGGAGCCAGCTAGGCTCAAACACTTAGAATAAAGCAGAAGACATGTCACCTTGCTCCCTTCTGTGTCTAAACAGAGTGTTATAATGAAACAAGAACTATATTCAGCATTTTGTGCACAACACAGGGGTCTGGAAAAATTTGGTAACACCTGAGCAGGGTGGAGGGCATCAGGAGCTGACTAGGAAGGAAGTTCTTATTTACCACAAAGGAACCATCGTGCTACTTATCAGTAGTGTTCACTCCCCTTTCCATTCAGTTCTCTAAAGAGGACTTCTAGAAGCTGCTGGAATATGCCAACGTCAGGACAAAGAACACAGGCTTTTCCTGCCTGGCAGCATCAATGAGAGCTCATTGTTTTAAATGGTTTGGGATTATAAACCATTTATATTCATTATCATATCATATTCAAAGCTAAAGAATTAATGTGGAAAAATAAAAGCCATATGAGTTTTAAAATTTGTCCTACCTTTTCTTTCCACCATGATTTCCCTTTCCCCTCCCCTCTGGTCAGTCAGTCTGTTCCATGTTTTCATGCCTGTAGTTCTATTTTATTCATTAGTTTATTTTTTTCATTAGCTTCCTCTTATAAGTGAGGAAACTAGACAAGAAACATGTATGAGTGACCCACGGACATGGACAACAGTGCGGGGATGGACTGTGGGAGTGGGGGGTGGGATAGGCAGGGGAGGAAAAAGGGGAAAACTGAGATGGCTGTAGTAGAATAGCAATAAAAATGATTAAAAAATAAAATAAAATAAAATTTGTCCTATATAAGTAGATATAAAAACACGTTTTGCCCTTTTTTCTTGTACTGGGAGGAAGAAGCTGTATCTTACTATATTCTCTCAAATCAATCAGGAGGTTTTTAGTAATCAGAGCTGCTACTTCCAAACATGCCTTTAAAATTTCTATATTTTAAAAATTAATTATAAGACAAAATGCTTAAGGAAGTATACCTCAAATTTGATAGCACTTTTTTGTTCAGTTTCACTCCACTGAAGTGAGCTATTTTGGCAAGTGATGAGTTCATCGCTTGCCAAAATAGCAGCTAACTCTCCCTTTGGAACAATCAGTTTAATTAATGAAAGAAACAGATATACTGACATTAAGGGGCTGGCAAATGTCAGGCAGTAAAGTTCGTGCTAATTAAACCTATCCTGAGCATACAAAAATTGTTCATAATGTGCTTCATGACTGAAATTATGAAATGAAATATGCTGAGTGAGGCAGGTGATCCAATGAATGAGACCACTTAACTCTAGTGCATATAGCCTGCTAAGAATGACATAAATCTGATGCTTCTTCATACACCATTTATCCACATCAAAAACTTTTAAAAGTTTAACCAGGGATGACATGATAACAATGTATGGCAAGCTTTTGGGTCAATCCAAATACACCCATGAGTTTTTGTATAAATCTAAATATCTTACTTAGAAGAGAGGAGGTAGGAAATAATTAATGTCCAGTGAGGATATAGTTGGACCTTTAGTTATACTGAACAAGTTGAGTTTGTAAACTTAAGAGGTCAAGTCCCACCTTCGGTCATATCCAATCATGCCTGTCAGGGTAAGGCCTGTTCCTCATGTCTAACCTGCTGGAAGAGTCTGTGAATGGTTCAGTCATGCACTGTACTTAGATTCCCCCTCTCTGCTTCCTTTGACCTCAGTCACAGCCCAGTCCACATTGACCCCAAGATTTGACTTTTTGTTCATTTGTTTTCCCTATAGAGACAAGTAACCTTCCAATATACCAAAAGTTTTTAAAAATAAAGGATAGCATCTGTATTAGTTATCTATTACCATGTAACAAATTATCCCTATATTTACCATTTATTTTTCTCATATTTCTGTGAGTCAGGAATCTGGACACAACTTAGCTATGAAAAGCCCTTCTCAAGGCTTAACTTAGGGAGCTATGCTTTGAAGCTGACTCATGTTTTCACAGCTGTGATTCACTTCTTGATTGCTGTTGTCCAGAAACATCTGTTCTTTGTTATATAGGCATATTCACAGGGTTTCTTCACAGGGCAGCTGGCTTCCCCCTGGATGAGATCTGCAAGAGGAATGAAGGGGTAGAGGACTAGCAGGAATGAAGCCACAGCCTTTTCGTAATCTAATTCAGAAAGTGTGATCCCATCACTTTTACCATAGTCTGTTCTTTAAAAAAAGAAACCACTGAGGCCCTGGCCAGGTTGCTCAGTTGGTTGGAGCATCATCTCCCGCAGCAAAAGTTTGTGGGTTTGATCCCCAGTCAGGGCCCATATCTCAATTGTGGGTTAATCCCTGGTCAGGGCTCATATGGGAGGTAACTGATCTATGTTTCTCTCACATCGATGCTTCTTTCTCTCTTTCTCCCTCCCTTTTTTGTGTCTCTAAAATCAATAATTAAAATATCCTCAGATGAGCATTAAAATAATATTTTTAAAAGTCACTGAGTCTAGGGCAAACTCAAAGGAACAAGCTTTTACAAGGGCAGAAACATCAGGAGGAGGAGTTGCTCATTGGGATGTATCTTAGAAGTCTTAGAATAACAAAGCTGAATTCCTTCATGTTAACAAAGGAGAAAAATAAAGCTGAGGTTTAGAGGGGTAAATAACTCACAAATGACAGGAAAGGAATTCTATGCAGCCCAGGCCTTCTGATTCTTGGCATTGTATTCCGCTGATTGATAGTTTTTCTTTTTCCTCTTCTCACTTTTCTCACTCCCATGCTCTCCTTTTGCTCAATCTGTTCATATCAATGAATAAAATAGCCCTGCAGTATTTGTGATATGGGAAAACCAAGGTTTAAACTGCTCACTTGCACGAGTCACCCTTTCTCCTCATAGCTAAGTAAGAAGTCCGTCCTCTTACCTAAAAGTCATGATGAAGGGAGGTGCAGAGAACACTCCTTTTTCAAGTATATGTAATTCAGATGCTGCAACAGGCATGTAAATTGGCATTCACCCAGTGCCTAAGATGTGTGTCAGGTACTGTGCTGTGCTCATTGTACTATTGACTCATTTGTCTCTCAAGATCATCACAGCAAATTTGAAAAACTGAAATTCCTAGTTTCTTATTCATTATTCATGTTGTTACTCTCTTTTGCTAAAGTTTTCTAAATGTTTATAATGTGATCATCTTTCATTAGCACATTTCATTCTCCAAAAATGTATTCATAGAGATTACCTAATTAAGTTTACACAACTGTCACATGGTGAAAGTTGTTACATGAAGACTGTGGCTTAGCAACCTTGTGGGCTTTGACTGAAATCGTGTGGCTGGAGGTGGCAGAGCTGGCTCTTTCTGTGACAGAATTTCTCTGCATTCAGAATTCCAAAGGAGAACTATAAACTGAAGTCACTCATTAAACAAATATTGACTGAGCCTTTATCAAATACAGCTTGTAGCTTTCTTGTCCTAACTCCAAAGGGAAATTTGGTGTTGAGCAACTATTAATTTTATCCCTAATAATAAGAATTAGTTGTTAAATTGTAGACTGTGGAAATTAAAGGTCAAATCTTCATTTTCCTCATTGCTTGCCTGGTATTTTTAAATAAATTATTTAACAATCCCTGTGCACCCGTTTCCGTTGGGGAATATAATAATAGCATCTATTGAATGGGATGATGGCAATAAAAGGGTTCATACGTGTTAAATACGTAGAATAATGCCTGGCATGTAAGAGAAACTAAGTGTCAGTTATGGCTGTAATCTGTGTGTATGTGCTTTCCATTCAACAGCTCTGGCTGGGAATGCCTGCCTGGTACGTGGCAGCCTGCCGAGCCAACGTGAAGAGCGGGGCCATCATGTCTGCGCTGTCAGACACGGAGATCCAGAGAGAGATTGGAATCAGCAATCCTCTGCATCGCTTAAAGCTCCGATTAGCAATCCAGGAGATGGTTTCCCTCACAAGCCCTTCAGCTCCTCCCACATCCCGAACTGTGAGTCAGTCTCTGCTCCTACCCTCTTGCAGGCCTGGGCAAATAATGGCATCTCTGAGTTCACAGAGTAAAGTGGTGTCAGTGCCATTTCCACGTCGGTGTGAATTATTCTGAAGAGATTTAGCTTGCTCTTCATTAACCTTGCTGCTACTTCCAATAGGTTTTCAACTGAGCTATGGTTTTTATCAGATTTGAAGGCTGCAACCAAGATAGATTTTTGAAGTAGTCTCTAGACTAAAGTTTAATTTTTTTTTCTCCCAAGCAACAAGACTCCAAACTTTTTCAGGATGTCCCTTTTTTTTTTCAATGTAATTCAGCATTTCAAGTGATTGGCTGTTGGCATTAGTGCTTCCTGAAAATGCAGTGCTTAACTCACTGATTCTGAAGCATCTTTCATGTTGATGAAAGTACAAAGATACTTGATGTCTTATAAATACCACATGAAATGCCTTCAAAAATCTGTTTGCTTCTCATTTATAAGCCCCTATTCTCTTCATAATTTTACCACATCCTAATATTAGAAAAGAACAAAATGTCTAAAAATGCATACCAGATAACAAATTTAAATATTAAGAAAAACTCCCAAATGATACTCATGTTTTTCTTCATCTTTTCCTGAATTATATATTTTGCTGATAAAGGATATAATTTCTGATGTTAACTGGACTTCTCTGGTCCCATGTGTTACTCAGAAAAGTAATATATTGAAGAAGGAGATACATTCGAGTAATGAATAAAAGACAGAAAGGTGATCTATTATTGCAGTTTTTATATGTGGTCTTAAACAGTTTTAGAGAATTCACTCCATTTTTATTCTATCTACCCTCATATTCTTTCCCAGTATACTGAATTCTAATGCCAGAAATACAATGTTGAATTTAAAAGCCTTTTACCTTTCTCTCATAGTTCCATATTAACTTCTTTCTAAATAACAGAAAGAAAAATAGATAATTTAACAAACTCATGTGTAACATTTTCATCTATACATAAATGCTGTACACTGTAGCTGAAGTACTCAAGTTAGAAAACAATCCAAAACAAAAACTGAGCAGACCACTAAAACAGTTCTTGTAAACTAAATTGAAATCTGATGGTTTCCTGAGCAATTTCGAACTGAGAGAGGAGCATCACAACTGTTTTACACCAAGATTCTCCTGTCAGAAGCATGCCATGCAAAGTTATTAAACATTTCTAGCCTTGCAATATTAAGAGCATTTAAATTCCAACTTCAAGTGGAAAAATAGAATATACTTTATCATATCTATTTAACATCCTAATTCATTTCTTAATGAAAAATACAATAGTGAAGCACTATTTCTCTAAAAAGTTCTAAGCAACCTAAAGGAACTTGACGAGCTATTAAGGGTGAAGGGATTAGCCAGAGAACACACATGCATAACCCATGGACGTGGACAGTGGTGTGGTGATTGCCTGAGGGAGTGGGGTGGGAGGCCTGGGTGGAGTGGAAAAATGAGGAAAAACTGGGGATAACTGTGACGGCAGAAACAATAAAATATCATTAAACATTTATTAACAGTAAATAATAAGTAATACTCAATTGTTTAAAAAACAGTCGAATGTGAAAAGAGCTTAGGAGACACTTCACTCAGTTCATCTCCAAGGTTCTACTTCCCCAGGTCAGGATCCCCACAACACAGACCACTTGCAGTTTCCTAAACTTTATGTTCTTGGTTGATTATTGGCTTTTCTTTTCTTTTTTAAAAGATTTTATTTATTTATTTGTTTGTTTGTTTGTTTATTTATAGACAGAAAGGAAGAGAGGGAGGGAAACATCAATGTGTGCTTGCCTCTCACACACCCCTGACTGGGGACCTGGTCTGCAGCCCAGGCATGTGCTCTGACTGGGAATCCAACCAGCAACCCTTTAATTTGCAGGCCCAGCACTCAGCTACTGAGCCACACCAGGCAAGGCAGATCATTGGCCTTTCTAATTGATCTTTCTTCTACCTGGAATATCCATCCCATTCCAGAATTACCATCCTTCTCCCGCTCCTCCTGGAGCCAATGATTCCTGACTGTCCTTTTTCTACAAAGTTTTCACTAAGATTTCAAGTCTGGGTCTGCTTCCCTTCCTTCATTACCACTCTGGATACTTGTAAAAACCATCTTATAATTTTCTCTCCTTGATTTAACCTACACTAGGCCAGGTAAGAATAACATCGGGTTATCTATGGCCCCCAAGCCTTAATTCAGTGCCAGGTAAATTGTGGATAATCAGTAATTACTCAACAAAAAATAATGATTGTGTAAGTTACCCTACCCACCATTACAAAAAGGTCTGAAATATACATGGCCCTGGTTCATAGAGGACAGCTATGGTGATGAAAGTAAGATGTTCTTACCAGTAGGTTTAGTAGGAGATGATGTATTTTAACTTGTAAATGTGAGATAGAAGCAAAGTGCTGTGGCATTCCATGAAAGGAGAAATTGATTCTGATTGAATAGGCTTCAAAGAGGAATCAATGTTTGAAAGACTGGTCATGTATTATTAATTATTACTTTTTTCAGTTTATTTTTTATAGAGACCTTGCTAGTCTATTTTCTCTTTTATAAAGATGAATTATTTTGTACTTTTAAAATGTAGTAATAGAACATAAATATTTTCTTCAATTTAATAAATACAAAATTCTAATATAATTTTTAATTGTTACATACCTCCTTCATGGAAATACTATAATTTATTTAACTAAATCCCTAATAGTGGACATCTTGCTTATTTAACAACTTTAATTGTGTTTACAAAACCATAGTGGATATGCACATAGTTATGTTGTTGCATAAACTATAGTTATTGCCAAAGCAATATTTGAGCATTGGGCATTTATGTTCTAATTACTTTTAGTAAAAGGTAAAGCATTATGCTGAGTGAAATAGGCCAGGTGTTGAAAGACAAATACCATATGATCTCACCTTTAACAGGAAGCTAAACAATAAAACAAACAAGCAAGCAGAATAAAAACAAAGACACTGAAATAGAGAACAAGGGGATAGTGACCAGAGGGGAGAGGGAAGGGAATTTAAGGGGAAAAGGGGATTTGGAGGAACAAGTATGAAGGACACAGGGATGAGGACTGGGGGGAGAGGAAATGAGAGGGAGGTGGGGAGCACGGGGTTGGGGGTGCTGGGATGGGAGAAATAGACAAAAAACTGTACTTGAAAAATAACTAAATAAAATTTAAAAAAAAGAATTGTGTGATCTGAAGAAAAACCAGTGTATATTCTTATTACTTTTAAACCTTGATTACCAAATTGTATTGTGTACTCATCCCCCCACTTTGTTAACATTATCACATTGCTTAAATTTTTTTCAAAATAACTGAAGTTAAATTTTTCATATGCTCATTAATATTTAAATGAATTACTTATTTACTCATCTCTAGCATATTTTAAATGTGATTTGCTTTGAAAAAAGAAATATTAATGAATCCACTGCACCAAGATGCAAACATACAGAAGTGTTTTTTTTAAAGAAATGTTATCATGTCTTCCAGAAGGCTATAATTAGTCCAGATCATACAAGTTCATTGTACGTTAAGGTTGGGTTTGGGCTTGGGCTCCTCAGCCAGTTGTATCTTGTGTGTTCAGTCAAGCTCTCAAGTGGAAAAGACAAGGTACTTAGGCTTTTTTGTTTAACTAAACAGAATGTCTGCCTATTCCGCCTCCTTTTTTGTCTAGATAAAAATGGACTACATCATCAATGTGAGGGCAACTTTCCTCGTAAGTCCCCCCTGTGTGCCATGGATGAGAGTAAACATGACTGAGACATGATGTGATCTACCTGGGGAGGAGAGGTGGCCAGTTTCTCAGGGGAAAAAGGTCTTGAGCCCCTTCCTTCAGGGGCTTTTATTGGGTTGTAATACACAGGAGTACAGGGCAGCAAGGATCAAACAGTAGATAGTCTGAGTCAGAGTCTGTTAGAGAGTTTTAGAGTTTCCTGCTCGAACCCTTAACATATGAATGAAAGCACTCTTAGCAGAGCAGGTTTCAAGGTTTATCAGGAAGTCTTTGTGGTGCCAGATTTTTCCCCAGGACATGCTCTAGCAAGGCAAGGAGCTGCACCTCTGCCCATCAGGTATTCAGGCTTCAAGGGATTAGAGCCAGGAAGCGCTTCTCCCAGAGGACATGGGAACTCAGGCTTTGTCAAAACAGGGAGGGCGTGAAAGTCCATTGCTCTTTCTTTGTTGCAGGCCCCCGAGTTCTTCCATGATGGCCCCCCAGGTGATCGAGTCTGGTTTAGGTTGACCCCCCACTGTGAGGGGTCTTACCTGTCATTGACTTCCGACCAAGCTTTGGGGGCAGAGAAGGGAAACTGAGGCATTGTTTGCTACCAGAGACAAGCTTTGTCTCCTGAGGCTCACATTCCAGAGATCGTCTCTCACCCTTAGCCACAGGGGGTTGAGTTACAATTCCTAGAACCAGGCAGAGCGGTCCACAATACATGGAAAGGAAAAATCTAAAGTTTATATTCATTGTTTCTTTGGTCCACTCCTAATTTTCCAGCTTTCTTTTTTCTTCCTAGTTGTTGTTACTGTGGAAGGCCTCTGACCCAATAGAATAGTGATGGAGATAGCAGTTAATGGAAATATTTGGTTAAAAAGGATGTCTGAGAAAATAAATTACATATTTTTAAATCCTCACCTGTGTATATGTTCATTGAATTTAGAGAAAGAGGAAAAAAAGAGACACCAAAGAAGCTATCCAGCCAGGACACATTTTTAAAAATATTTTATTTTAAGTGAAAATATATTAAGTTAAGAAAGTTTCAAATTTAGATGAAATACCTAAGAATTTCTTTGAATATGATTCCAATGCCTGGAGTCCCAATTGTCACTCTTTGATAACCTCATCCATAAACATATTCAATTTCAATAGAAATTGAAGTTTAAATTTCTTTTTAAAGTAATAACTTCATGACATCTGAAGCCTATCTGAGTACAAACTCCTCCTGGACATTTACAATTTCTTCCTGGACTCTCACA